TTTTATTATCTGTGATTGAAATGATTGACTCGATAAAGCAGATGAGTCTTCATTAGATCTGGAGGATCTGCAGGGACTCTCGTCTTTCTCCATCTTTCTCTGTTAGATTCACAGTCCAGTTTAAACTGAGGGAGGAGCTGTTCCCGGAGGAGGTCGGCGCTAACAAGATGCAGGAGCTGTTCCCGGAGGAGGTCGGCACTAACAAAAAGATGGTGAAATGGGCAGCAGCCGAGACCGCTCTCGATGAACTGTAAAGAAGAGGATCACTGCTGGAGAAGGTAAGAGAAGAACTGAGAGTCTGATGATTGAGAGGAACAGAAAGAGGAGGAACGGGAAGCTCTAGATCAGTGGTGTCAAACATACAGGATGATTTGAACAATGATACAAAATAAATAAAACAATATTTTTAAAATTAAAGTGTATTAGCTAGAATATTTAGCTACAAATTAGTGTGACTTACGACACATTTATTCCTGTCCACTTCATTCTCTGTGTCCCATAATCTAATGGAGAGCTTCTCTCTGTTCTAGAGGAGCAGCAGGAGACAGTCAAGGCTGTATGATAATGTCTTTAGGCATTCCCTCCTTGACCTCCAGCATTACGCAAGAGTTCATGGAGAACGGGTCCGTTTTGAGAGCGTAGAGCCAACGCCCAGCACAGAGATTCACTTTCCAAGTTAAGATGGGGGCCTGCTCCTTTCCCTCCATGAGTGCCAAGTTAAGAGGGGGGCCTGCTCCTTTCCCTCCATGAGCTCCTCCAGCAAAAAGGAGGCCAGAGAGAAGCAGTGCAAGCAGCCTTAGCTGTCCTGATTGGAGAAGAGGAGAAAGAGCCGACCCCTCAAGTACACACACACACAGTTGAACGCACAGCTTTTCAAAGTATACTCCATTTGATAGTGCACTATAGGGATTCATCCTTGTTCAGTGTCTTTTTTTCTGCAAATGTTTGGCAAAAGTGGTAAAAATGTGTTCTGAAAGAGTTGTTTGTATTTTAACCCCTCACTCATGCACTCATCAACACGGGCCCCTGTGTTATTTCCCATCTTCAGTAGGTTGTTAGAGAAAATTAAAC